CTAAGTTCTGTTGCCATTAAAATCGTCCTGGCAAGACACCAAACTCAATTGTCATGGGACTGGTTCTGTATGAACATAAGACACTTTTAAGCTTAAGGGTAGGGAAGAGGAGGACAGAAAGGCATTCAGTTTTTATGTCGATTAGATAATCTCTTTGGTATCTAGAGCTGGATAATCAATAAGTGGCTTAATAGTGAACACAGCTGGCCCAAATTGCCAAATTTGGACCAAAAGACAGGACCAGTGATTGGACCAAAAGACAGGATGCCATCACCTTGCCAAGAAAATGACTTTCATGAGACTAATTGGTTTGACAGCTTTAGAGTAACAAGCATATTCAGTCCAGTAACACATAAAAGCAAACCTACCTGTGGAAGACAAGAACATTTCACCAGCAGGACTGAGAATGGGTCGGTGGGATTTCAATCAAGCCCCTTTATAAGCCAAAAGGCCACTCTAAGCATCATTTCTCCTCCTATTCCACTCAACTTTTATTAAGTTCTTACTCTGTGGCAGCCACTGTGCTCGATGCTGAAACTACAAATAAAAAGAGAGAAATAGCCCCTCCCCTCAGGGAATGGGAGGTGGATGTACCAGTACAATACGTACACCCATGTCTAAGGCCACAAATTATAGCTGAGTTACAGTGAAGTATAATATACAGTAAACTGATGGAAGAGAGCAGTAACAAAGGGAGGTTCATGAGGGGAAGACTTCATGTAGGAGGTTGGAGCTGAATTTTGCAGGACAGTTACGGTGTTACAGATCAGGCACTACGTTTGGAGTCAGATGATCTGGGTTCCAATCCTGCCTCCCATACTTACTTGTTGATTTACCCTGTGTGGGCCACTTTAATTTTTCTGTTCCTCAGTTTTCTCATTTGTAAAATGAGGGGGTTGGGTGGGGATGAGCTGCATTCCAGGTATGCGGGAATGAGAAAGGGCAGCATTTGTTGTTCTTGTTGTTGAGTCGTTTCAGTCTTGCCTGACTCTTCTTGACCCCATTTGGGGTTTTCTTGGAAGAGATGCTGGAGTGGTTTGTCATTTCCTTCTCCAGCTCATTTTACAGATAAGGAAACTGAGGCAAACAGGGTGAAGTGACTTGCCCAGGGTCACACAGTTACGACGTGTCTCAGGTCATATTTGAACTCAGGAGATGAGTCTTCCTGACTCCAGGTTCGGCATTCCATCCACTGCACCACCTAGCTGCCACAGCTATGAGGTAACAACCCCTTTTAATTCTATTGCCTTCCCTCTGTTGATTATTTCTTATTTATACTGTTTGTATCTAGTTTGTAGTTGTTTACATGTTGTCTCTCTGATTAGATAGTAAGCTTCTTGAGGTCAGACTGTCTTTTGCCTCTTTTTGTGTCCCCAGTGCCTAGCACAGCTAGGCACAGCTACACATAGCAGACACTTAAATGTTTATGGATCGCTTGATTGACATGAGACAATGCTTCCTTCATCGGTTTGGAGTCAGAAGACCTATGATAGAATAGTGCTACTTATTACCTAACTGACCATGAGGAAATTGTGAGCTCATCTGGGACTCAGTTTCCTCATCTGCAAAATGAGAAGGTGACTCTAAGGTCTTTTCTAGCTCAGGTGTTCTACAATTCTGTGCTTTAGAGGCATAGTGCAGAGCACTTTGGACTTGAGGTCAGGAAGCCATGAGTTTGGGCAGGAAGCCAGGATGCTGGCTGTGCAACTTGGACCGAGTTATTTGATGTTGCTCAGATTTCTCTCCCAGCCATCTACTTGCCAGCCAGTGTTGTGCTGGGGACCAGGAACCAAAGTCTTGGAGACTTAACCCCTTCATCCCCAGAACTCTTGGCCTGGACCAGATGTCCTGACTGGTGATTGCCTCAGTGGTCCACTGCATCTGAGGCTGGCTCCAGACATGGTTCACTTGTCTGGGCCATCAACTTTCCTCATGTGCATATTCTACCCTTCCCCCTTTCAGTTCTGAAACCATAATTGATTCAATATGGATGTTGCTTCTAGAAAGGGTGGGTCTATTCTACTCCCCAGTGGTTCCACTCACCATCCCAAAATTTTCCTTCCCTAGCCACCATTCCCCTATTTATGTCATCAACTCTTCCAAGAATGTGAGACCCTTGAGAATAGGGACTGGTTTAAATATGTGTGTTTATCATATAGTTAGTTTAATAAAGCAAGATTAATAAATACTTTTCATTAATCCATTAAGTTTCCTTGTGTATAAAATACAGATAATACCAGTATAGATCTTGGCACACAATAGACTCTTAATAATACTTATTCATTACCTCCTAGACCAGGAGTGGGGAACCTGCAGCCTCCAGGCCACATGTGGCCCTCTAGGTCCTCAAGTGCGGCCCTTTGACTGAACCCAAACTTCACAGAACAAAGGGGACACTTGAGGACCTAGAGGGCCACATGTGGCCTCGAGGCCACAGGTTCCCCACCCCTGTCCTAGGTTGTTACAAGGACCAAATGAGATTTTATACAAACACACTCTCTCTCAAACACACACCAAAACTCATCTTCCTGAGTTCAAATCCAGCCTCAGACATTTACTGTTGTGTGATCCTAGGGAAACCACTTCATCCTGTTTGCTTCAGTTTCCTCACATGTAAAATGAACTAGAGAAGGAAATGGAAAACCATTGCAGTATCTTTGCCAAGAAAACCCCAAATGGGGTCATGAAGAATTGGATAGGACTGAAATGAATGAAAAACAACATATACACACATACATAATATTATATATGTATAAATACAAAACTTAAAGAACCATATGAATGTTTGTTAATCATAATAATGATTGTGATTTCACATCCTGTGTTTCCCATTTACTCTTAAAGGCAGATTGGTGAAAGTACTGTGGTGGTTAGAGCACTGAACTTTTAAGAGACTTTCTACCCCTTGGAGCAGTTTCTAAGCTCCTTCTTAGGTCAGCCATTCAGTTAACAAGCATTTATTAGATGTTTGTTATATGCCAGATACTCTGCAGGTACAGAGAAAGGTAAAAACAACATTTGCCCTCAAGCAGGATTTTGCAGTGTTTTCAAGTGGGATGTTGCAGGAGAGAAAATTGTCCTGAGGGATGCACTAGAGATGAGTGGCCCATAAAAACAAGCATAAAGTTGCAGTTTGAAGTTTTTGATTTCTGGGGCTCACAAGTAGAGAAAACAAACATTTGGGCTTGATATTCCTTCTCCAGTGTAGGCCAGACCTCAGGTTTCTGGGGAAAAGAGCCTGGGCCCATACTTGAAAGTCACTGAACTCTACAAGGAATAATTAACCTTTATTTATATTCATATTACTTCTAGTCTTTGTCAAATATGAAATCCAAATGAATTTGAGAGCCCCAAAGTGGACTTTTTATTAACCAATGCAGATAGCTATGCCTTGAGGCAAACTGAAATTACTTCAAACCCACATTCCTGTCTTGGTGGGCTATAGCCAAGGTCTTACATTAGGTAGGTCTCAGTAGTGAAATCTGAAGGTAGTCTTTAAGCCAGAATCTGTGAATTCACAATTGAAAGTTTTGTTTTTCCTTCCATAGGGATGAGTTGTCTCTGAAAGTCCCTGGATTTTCTTTCTCTATCTCTGTTGTCTCTTTTTCTCTGTCTCTCCCTCCCTTTCTCTTTTCCCCCGCTGTCTTTTTTGCTCTCTTCTCCTCCCCCTGTCTCTCTCTCCCTCTTCCTCTTTGTTGTCTCCATCTCTTTCTCTATCTTCCCTCCCTTTTCCCTTTCCCCCTGTTTCTCTCTCCATTCCTCTCTGTTGTCTCTTTCTCTGTCTCTCTCTCCCTTTCTCCTTTCCCCCTGTCTCTTTTTCTCTCTCTTCTCCTTTCCCCCCATCTCTCTCTCTCCCCCTTCCTCTCTGTTGTCTCTGTCTCTTTCTCTGTCTCTCCCTCTCTTTCTCCTTTCCCCC